CTCCTCCCTTACACTATAAGATCAACAATAACATGATGAAATAAACTGCAAAATACTTGCTTTGTTTGATCTTTGATCACCGCACTCCTATTCCTGGCGGTTTTCGTAACCCTTGTCGGCGGTGAAGCACGAAAGAGGGGCCGGATAAGGGCGGTCTTGTACGACGACAACCTGTTGCTGCAAGGTCAGTTCGAGCGAGGCGTTACCTCCTGCAGAAGTTCCCGTAAGATTCGTGCTTTCCACCACCTAGTCCAGCTGCCGCCGCCGCCCGATAGCCGCGGGGTCAGGAGGAAGAAAGGAACGTGGTGCCTCTTCGTGCGGCTACGCCCAAATCGGGATGGATAATACATTTCGAAATATTGGGGCGGAAATTGAAGCGTTTTTATAGTGAAAATTACGGGTCGGATTTTGGCCTTGGACCCAAACCCGATTTGGTCGTCTCCCCAGGGGCCCGCGGCGCGAGTGCGGGTGGGACTTGGCTTCGGTGAACCGGTTGCAACGTTTCGGTTCAACTCAAGTCGAGTTAATTTCAATGACTCTCCTCTTTCAAGAATACCTTGCATCTAAGAATCGAAGATGTTTCATTTGAAGGGTTCTCATCTGTCTGCCTTCACTGACTGCACTTCCTAATGCACCAGGGATTTATGCTAATCGTGTGAACTTTATACATCATTATTGTTCCATTGGCATGCAAGAAGATAGAACACATGGAAATAGATACCAAAACCAAGAGGATAAGAATGGGCCCATGAAAAGTTCAGCCGTGTCATCATTTGCAGTGGCATTTCATCATGACATTGGCATGCTGTGTTTTGACTAGGTTTTGAATCTACAGAGATCGAGGGAGGGAGGAATTGCACTATTCCTGCTTTGTATTCTGATGGCAGGATGGGTTGGGTGATGGCTTAAATGCTCTCTCTCTCTCTCTCTCTCTCTCTCTCTCTCTCTCTCTCTCTCTCTCTAGGCCATTCGAGTTCGGTTTACTGGTCCTTTTATTGATGGCTCACCTCCCTTTCACAGTGAAGGAGAGTTCAACTGTTGAGTTGGGTCTTCTGCTATCCTCCGCAGCATTCCTTTTGCCTCCTCCTATGCGTCAGCATTCATACACTTGAACTATTGGACTGAGAATGGTCAACTACAAAAGTGGGGTTTCAATATCAGAGGCTTCCACATTAATGCTCTCAGCTTTACCTTTCTGCACCTTTGGGGTTCCGACAGCAGAAGTTTCAGACTCACAGGGCAGTGCTGTAAATGAAGATTGAATCACAATACAGCAGAAGTTTCTGCACCTTTTATGAGGATTGAATCATGATGACCGTGTTTTCGACACCTCATGAAACACTCTTGCAGCTTGAAGAGATGTCATGATTATTCTCTTCTTTTATGGTCATCAGATTCAGAAGTAGAAGAGATGCAAAGCCAAGAGAAGCTATATATATGTGCTACTTCACTGCAGTGTAATGCACGAAGGAAACCCAGAAGAGTTTAGAGAAGGATGGCCATTAAATAACTTGCAAACAATAAGTACTCATATCAGAGTGTGTATTAAAAGCTGAATAGTAAAGCCGGTGAACTCATACAATGAAGTCTACGGGAACTACAGAATCCACAACTGCTGCATGACTTCAACACAAGAAGAGGACGAGAAATCCGAGAGTCATTATCTCCCTCTATATATGTTTATATCTCATTATCTCCATCAATTAGCCATTCTCCAAATCTTAACCTGAAGTGCAGTGAAAGCAGAGATGGATCAGCAGAAAAGGCAGCATTTGGCATGCATGAGATCCACGTACCTGCGTGCATGAACGGGTCCTCTGTTAAAAGTTATATGATCTCAGATGATCGTGAAGAAAGATAGGTGTATGACACACAGTTGGTCTCTTACAGAGGTTTAATGGCTGGGCTATCGTCGCCGCTGGCCGTGCTTGGCTTCATGACGCTAGCAAGTCCGGTGTCGTATGATCCATCGGCGGCCAGCTTCGCTGCCGGATCTTCTTCGTAGTGCCTCGGCATCGTAAGATAGTTGACATCGATGAGCCCATGCCCGGTGGCGGCGGACTGGTACTTGGAGAGCTCGGACATGGCGGCGGACAGGTCGACACGGAGCTGGCGAAGCTGGCGCTGGAGGAGGGAGATGACGCCGACGCAGCCGTAGACGGGATCGCGGAGGCGCATGTCGGCCTCGTAGGCGAGGGAGTTGACGGCGTCCTCGCGTTGGTAAGGGTGCAACTCATTT